ATGTGCCCTGACTGGGAATCGAACCAGTCGCGGAACTGGGACCGCAATCCTTTGGTTCACAGGCCTTCACTCAATCCACTGAGCTACACCAGCCAGGGTAAAATTTGTATTTTGATCATTGCTGATGGGTTTGAGAATATCCTTATAAGCCTTTTAATCCCTTGAGTTTTCTCTTCTGTGAGTTGTCTTCATATTCTTTGTCCATTTTTCTGCTGGGTTCTAAAAAAGGTCTTCAGTTCATTTTTTTAAGGCTGGTCAGCAAACCTCTGGTATAGATTTAAATAATGACACCCAAAGAGTTGGAGCAGCCCTCTCTGGAGCGTGGATTCCTGTGCAGAATGTTTCCCACGTTAACTGCCTTTTTTCTCTGTCACTCTCAGTCTCTGTGTGTGGGTGTACCTGCCTCTCTCACACACACAAAGCTGTGTGTCCTCAAGTATTTTTGAAGAAATTATTACTTTGATTACATAACAATGATCTTAATGGAGGATTTTTTTTGGAGTAGCTGATTAAAAATAAAAACTCTTGCTGCTTTCTGTATGTAGACCATTAAACTCTTTACATCTAAATCTACAAAAGCTTACAATATTCTCCACCATATTTGGGTTAGAATTCCCATATATAGTCAACCGAATCTATAAAGGAGCTGAAGGAGGTGGAAGGCTGGTCTTCTCATGTCCCCCGCCTCCTTTTCTCTGTCTCTCTGGTGTGGTCGTCAAAGCGAGAATCCTGGGAGCCCCGAGTTCTGTCATTTGGGGGGGTCTGTTTATGGTGCCTGGTTTTGCTTAAAACAGAAGACCCCATGTGAATGCTTTTCATCCCAGAAACAGTACAGTGCAACCTGCGTCATCGTGCTGGGCGGGCTCTCCCTGGACTCTCCCCCCACACCTCCCTCCCTCCCTCGCGGGGAAGCTCCCTTAGACGAGCCTGCTTCACTTGGCCCAGGGCAGCTCACCCCAGGGGAGGAGGACCTCCCAACCCGTCTGTCCTGGGCTAAGGGGTTCACTGTGCACAGATCAAATGATCCCAAGAAGCCCAGGTTGCCTAAAACACGGGCTGAACACGCAGGGTAAGCGTGTTCCCCGCCCCCACAAACATTCAAGGGATCCACTCTGGCCAGCACACAGCCCTGAAACTGTAACTTTAATTAATCTTCTCAGCTACAAGTGGCTGTTCTTTAACACACCGCATTGACCCCACCTTTTTCCTTGAGTCTGGACACTACATTTCCTCATTTCTTGCTGAAGTGAGTTGAGGAAATCAGGCAGCAAAACTGGCCGGGCACCTGGACACACACAGGGTGAAGGCCCTCATCAGCATTTCCAGGTAGCCAGCAGTCTGTCCTGCTGTCCCTCTGTCCCACACACTCTCTAAGCTGGGGGCACCTTTTAGTGGAATAAACATGCTTCCGCTTGTGTTTGGGTCAAAATCTGCTAGAACCAGGCTGTAATGATAACCTTCTGGCAAGTGTTGAGAGAGAGAGAGCACAGGAAGGAATTTTAAACCAAAGTGCCAAGTGACAGAGTTGACATATTTTAATAAAGTGAAGTTTCTTGACCATTTATTAACAGGAGGAAAACACACAATGCAGCTTTTCGATTTTTTAAACAGGTCTTGTCAGAGAAGGCTGTGGCCGCCCGTCACCAGCACTGCAGATAAATAGCTACATTTTTCAGAAAGCAGCCTGCTCCCTGGGGGTCGCTTCTCACTGCCAGCGCCTCCCCCTTGCGGAGTGGAGTCTGGTGGGTGCGCGGACGAGGTCTGGGATGCAGAATTCCACACAGGAAGGACTGGGGATATGCATCTGTTATGTGCAGGTTGTGAACTGCTTGTTAACCATGTCCTGAGCCATGCAGTGTGGGGTTCACTTGATCTTGGGGTCATGGACCTCTCCTGGGGGTTTGGAACAGTAACATACTCCTGACTGACAAAAAATGGAGCCTATTTGGAAATACTGCCATGTCCACTCTGTCTGGCGGTTCACTCTGGCTGAGACATGGTGTTTCAGGAGGGGGAATTACAAGAAGATTTTGGAGTGGACGTTTTGGGAAGGAGACAAAGAGAGGAGAGGAAGATCCGTCCAGATGTGCAGCCCACATCTGTACACAAGCCTCAGTTCATTTCTGCTGGAGAAATGAAGCCTCGGTTCATTTCTCGGAGGTGTTTCTGGAAGCTCAGATTCTCTAGACTTCCCAATGACTCTGTTCATAAATACCTGCTGTCTTCCATGACTTCCACGAGCTCAAGGTGACTTTCTCATTTCCAGTGAAGAACTTTGACCAGCATCCCTCCCCTTTCTCCATTTTTTGCTCAACTTAATCATCACTTCTTGCAGGAAAGTTTGGCCTCCCCGATTACAGCAATGTGCCCTGTTATAGGTGCACGTGGATCCGGGGTGCCTCCTGGGCAGTGCTCATAATGACTACAATTGTGCACTTATTAATGGGATTACCTAATAATTCCTTCTCTCCTCCACTAGACTGTACATTGAGGGAGGGTGAAGTGGTACTGCTGGTGCCCTGGTGCCTAGCACAGTGTGTGGCTCACAGAAGGTGCTGAGTGAGAACCTCTGGGACACTTTTGGCAAAGAATAGACACACGAATGAATAATGACTTCAAGTTGCTCTGAGTCTCAAGATCATCATGGATTCCAGAGCACAGAGGCCAACAGAGACCTTGACCTTACTGCTCTGGGAGACGACATGTTTGCCCTTGTTTCTAAGTGCAGATCTCCACATAGTTTGCTCTTCTGCTGGTTTTTAGGCTCTGCCTGTTTTTTGTAATCCTCACCTGAGGATATGTTTTCAATGAAGAATGAGGAAGGGTGGTGGGGTGGAGGGAGGGAAAGAGAAACATTGGTTGCCTTCTGTACGTGTCCCATCTGGGAATCAAACCCACAACCCTTTGGTGCACAGAGGATGCTCTAACTAACTGAGCCACCTGGCCAGGACTGGTTTACATCTTTTGAAAATTCATTTTATTTTTGAAATTGTTGTTGTCTAGCCAGGGCTTCTCATTTCCTATTTGGTGTGTGTTTAGGGGCTGGTTGTAGCCCTACATGCCAAAAAGGAAAACAGCACTCCTCCCTGGCTCTGGCTCCCGCACACTCTGCCTTTTCAGAGGCAACATTTCTCTCTCCAGGGCTGGTTACTCCTGAGCAGTGGGGGCCGACACGGGGCCAACACTGGGCTCAGCAGCACAAGCCCAGTGCTCGGAAAACCACCTCTGCGAAGGGGTCAGGGCTCTGACACCCACTGGCTGTGACCCCGACCGGACACCTCGACTCTCGGGAACTCAGTTCCTTCATTTATGAAATGGGAGTGAAGACGCTTTCTTCACGAGTGGCTGGAAGGACGAAGGGTCCAAAGTCAATGCTCAGCAAATCTTTGTCCATCTCCCTGCCCCTTCCCTTTCCCTTTTCTGAAAACGTCTACATTGAGGGGACAGAGAGGGGCCCACCCACAGAGAACGCTGTCGAGGCTAGACCCCAGGACCACTGACAAATGCGGGAGGGAGTGGATGAAGGAAAGGCTGAAAGAATGAAGGGGTGACTTGCGATACCCATTACTAGGAGATGGTGGAAGAATATTGGTTATAGTTGTGGTGACAGTAATTATTTAGTAAATGCCTAAAGGGCTAGACATTGTGGCAGATGTTTTATGGAAATTACCTGATTTAATTATCCAGAGTTTTTAAGAAAGGTGACCATTGCCATCATTTTATAAATAAGGAAATGAAAGCCCAGGGAGATTGTCAGGCAGTGGGGCCACCAGTTAGTGGTTTTATTGAAGCATCGTGAAAATGGAAGGGGCACAGACATGTGTGGTGTACAGGAGTATTTACAGGTGTGCTTGTGTGTGCGAGGTGTTTATCTTAGTCCTAAGGAAAGAGCGGACACTCATGACATGATCGTATAATGATTAAATGACTACATGGTGGTGGTAATTAGAAGGGTGAAGTTAGATAAGTGAAGGGTGGAACAGGAGTAGTGGTCTGACAATGTGGTCTTGAGCAGAGAGCTGCTGGGGCTACTTTCCTGTCACGTGAGGGAGAGAGAACTGAGTGCGGACTCTGAGCAAGTCAGAGGGCTGTGCTCGTGGGTCCTGGCAGTCAAGGCTATGGAGCGTGTGTCCAGCGAGGGTGCTGGTGCAGTTTGTAGGCACGTGTGGAAGTCTCTACAATGTGACTGCAGGGTGTTAGTACCCAGAGCTTTCCCTCTTAAAGGTTTCCAAGTAGCCCCAGAGTTATAGTAACCCTGGGACTCACAGAATATGGACATTTGCTTTTGGTCTGGTCCGAAGCAGGCTATCTAAAGTGGCTATATGGGTTAAAAGCACCAGTTTGAGCCTGAGTGACCCTGAACTTCGGCATCTTTAGCTTAGGATTATTTATGTGGCCTCTCTGAGCTTTATTTTCTCATGTGCAAATGGAGATATACATCTAATAAAACGTTTGTGAGGTTAAAATAAAACACAGCATGAACATAGTTCCAGGCACCTAGTTAGTGCTGAATAGACTACATACATCAGTAATGGTTCACATGACGAAAGGGAAGGCCAGCTGGGAGGAGAGGGAGGAACAGGAAGGATGGAGACACAGAGCTGTGCTCAGTCCCACCTGCTCTCAACTGTGTCCCCAGCGCCTCTGTGTCTCATCTTCTGCATGTTAAATACAAAGAATTACCCACCTCAGGGATTAAGACCACACAGATAGAGATCCAGCCCTTAACGGGTGTGCAGAAAATACATTAGGATTGTCTTCACATTGGTCTCCAGTAACAAGGGTGCAGAGCTCAGCTCTGGGTATATCGGTGCGCCCTGATGGAGACAGAGAGGGGCCGATTTCCCACACCACCCCACAGTCCACATCCCTCTCTCCTCCATGTGTGGATTCAAGACAGAGCCCCGGAGAAGGGTGACTGGCTGCAGCAGCTCTCATCATTTCACCTCATCAGATATGCTGAAGAATAAACACTCTCGGAGATCATCTTTACTGTGAAACTCTAAAATCATGTTTATTCACCAATTCACAGAAAGTGTCGTAATGACCACCAGCATGAATCAGTTTGTAGGCATTTACAAGCCAAGGCTGAAAATAAATATCTGTGTTGAATAGCATTTAACAAATTACTTGGAAACAGCAAGAACCTTAATTGTTAGAAATTTAAAGTTTGTGATTCCAACATGGATAAGATCACAATCATGGGAAGAAGCCCAGCAGAATCCCGTGATGGGTCTGAGTTCTTCCTGGATCTTCACATACACACAGATCCTCAGCGCCCCTCACTCGGTGTCAGCCTGAATCGGACTGGGCCGCTCAGTAGGTGGGGACAGGTGCCGGGAGTGTGAGGCAGGGAGAGGGCATTTTCTCTGCTCTGCTGCGACTGGGCAGCCTCGTTCATGGAGCAACTCGGCAATGTGCTCTCCTGAAATTGGATTCAACATTCCGTAAACGCATACGGTGCTTCTAACAAGATAGTCTAGAGTCAGCACTGCATCACACTCATACACACACAACAGTGTGTTTAGCAAATACACACATTCCTTAGGCTAAAGCAATTCACTCTTTGAGGCAGCTGGAATAGCTCAGCAGTCTGATGTGAGTCAGGGACACACTGGCCCACTCCTGGCAGCGCTGACATGGGAGACACCCCGCCCAGACCGGCAGTCACTGCCCAGACTATAACAGTGATTGAAGGTGATTCTGAAAATGAGGCTGAGGTCAGTCCTCTCTGCAGAGCCAACACCATGGAGGCTTCAAAGAGAGAAAGCTCACCTCTGTACCTCCGACCTTTCTCACCCACACTGTGGTGGGCACCTGAGGATAAGCAGCCATCCAAGACTTGTAACTGGTGGTGGCGTCCCAGACAGGGGAGAAGGAAAGGGCTGAGAGAAGCAACCACTGGACCTTTTCTACTGGCTGAGCCCGGGACTTGACATGTAGTTTCAGAATTGTGCCTGAAGTTGGCAAAATGCAACAGCATTTCACCAGGTGTTTAGGGCATGGCAGAGGTGATGGGAGGGAAGCCCTCAGTCCTGTTCCCTGTGGAAGTGGCCTGTGGGGTGTGATGCTGAAGTGGGCTAAGTGTTGTGAACCCACTATGTGCAACACCCGTCACTGCTTGCTGACAGAGCCAGGCCCAGTACCTGCAGCTGGCTGTACACTGGCTGAATCTGTGAGTCACAGAGGCCAGGTCGTGATGATCAGGGATGGGGGTATGGCTAGGCTTCTCTGTTGCTCAGTCAATTCGGGTATCATGATGCTGCTGAGTGTCTACCAACTGGTGACAAGCTGGACCTTCCATTTCCAAAAGCTTACCTACTATGTGCCAGTCACTGTTCCCAGTACTTTGAGAACTAAAAGTAAACAACAAAAATACAAAAAAGTGTCACATCCAAACTAGTGCTTTTGTGGAATTTAAAATTTGTCGGGACCATTAACAACTTCATTATATATCTTACTTATTTCTCTATTATAGATAGGGGTATGTATATGATGCATATATTTAGCTGTACTTAGCCTACTGGTCTCTGATAATTTATACTTAATACATTAACTAATATTCCAAACAAAGGCACCACCAGGTCATTCTGAATTTTACCTCACTGACATTGTGATGTCCATGCCAATAACATAGCACAGCCAAATCTTAACACTTACAGGTTTCTTTGAAAACAACCAACTTCTACATACACTTTTCCTCTCTAAACTCACCAGCTGGTTTTCTTCAATCTCCTCCCAAGCCTGTTGAGCTCAGGGAACAAAAACTTTGTTTGGAAGTCACCAAGTTCAGGTTGGAAGCCATCAAGTGGTGTGACACATCATGACTACTTCAGTTAAGAACGGAAATCACCTTCCCACAGCTCTGACTTTTGAAGCAATTGGTCTGGCTGCCGCTGTGGTGACACTGCCAGATGCACCCAGAAGTTTGCTGAACTTTGGATACAGCTTTCAAGACAGAGCCATGCTCTGGCTTCCTGGGCGAGGGGTGTTTTGGTTACTGTCAGTCTGATTCCACCTCACCTGTTCCCTTTCCAACACGGAGTCATCCCCAACTCTCTTTTCTTGCTTTTTGAGTGATCAGCCCTGAATGTCAAGTCTAACTTCCTGACCTCCAAAAAACTTCTGCCTTTTCTCTACCACTTGAAGTTTACTAGGGATGCTGAGCATGACCTCTTCTGAATCCTGCACAACAGCTGCTCCTTTGCAGTCATGTTAGGAAACTGGGGTGATGGGAGGGGTGGGAAGGGGTCCACATGACCAGGATTGGTGCACTTTTGTGTCCAGGGGTGGATGTGCAGAGTATATTCACGTCTGCGACCCACAGGCACAGGTGGAGCCCCCCACCTCCCAAACACAGATGCCTCCTCAGCCCTTCCCTCCCTCCCCACACAGGGACTGGAGTCTGTAGCTGAGCCTTGTGGTTGGTTCTCTGCTTTTGCAAATAGATACAACCTATGAGCTTGTGACTCTGATGGCTCTTTCTGTTGGGGAAAAGAACTCTCGGTGCTCTCTGTGTGTGCGTGTGCATCCCACTTCTGTTCTGAAATGCTCAGAAAAAGAGGGTCTGTGCAGCAGAGATGCATTTTCATTTCAAGATAAAAGCAAATAGACATTAAAGCCGACACGTTTCTCTTGCCTGTGATTAATACACGCTGTCTGCATTTTGGCTCTTTGCACGTCTGTTGTCCTCTTTTCATTAGTCTATTGGGAATTGAGTTTCACCTTGATGAATCTCCTCTGCAGTGAATCTGATAAAAGGGACTGGAGAGCAGCACAGGCCTAGGGTCATCAACAGACGGAGGCTCTCTTTCAGCCAGGACGCTGCCCATGGCCTGTAGAGCAGAGCGAGGGGACCATCAAGGGCCACCCAGGCTTGTCCTTGCTTAGGGGCTCCTTTGGCCATAGCTGGCAGGGGGCTACTCCCCCAACACCCCAACTCCTGTCCTTTTCCCCTTTGTTAAGTAGGAATGGTGTCCTCAATCCACTGCATTTTCACTCCTCCTTCATCCGAAGCATCTCAGTTTTTCAAACCTTGTCCATTCATCGAAGTCAAGTGATCTCTGACATGTCATGTACTTCAGTGTTTACAGAGCACACGCTATGGGCTAGGTGCCATGCTAGACACCTCAGGCACTGTGATAGAAAAGTTAGTCTTCTTGCCTGGAGGAAGGGACCTATGCAGCCAAGGGGGCAAGAGGGAGGGGCCATTCTCACCTCACACAACCACAAGTTCCAGGGCCCTCATCAGATACCCCTCCTGGGGCCTGGGAAGGGCAGATGGCTGTGGTTCTATTTCACTCAACTGAAAATTTTCATGGGGAAGGTCCCTGACTCTGAAGATGTTACTTCGGTGGTCCAGAGGTCCCAGCTCCTCTCTGCTCCTCAGAATGGGAGGAACTAGCTGGTGCAGTCTGTCAGGGAGGCGTCACATACCTCTCACCCGGGCCCAGTCTTCCCCGTGAGCGTGCTCTCAGTACTCACTCTGCCTGGTGTCCTGGCTGGATCTGAGCCCCTCACCCTCAGTCCATGCATCTCCCTGTCTTACCTGCCAGTGAGACAGAGCCTGTCCTGCTTGCAGAACAACCAGAGGGCTCTCCATCAACTGCCTGACATCCCTTTCCTTGTCCTTTTCTCCCACAACAGGCTTCTTGCAATAAATGACTAACCTCAGGGAAACACATAAAATTGCCTTAAAGTTCGGGGAAAAATATGTTTCTTCAGAGAATTCACACACAGTGGCCAGGCTGTGAAGAGAAAACTCTCCGATGTAAGTGGCACGAAGAAGTACTTTACCCTTCCTTCTGGGCCTGGTGGTCCCAAGCTCTCTCACCAGCAAGTAACTGGCAGCCCTGTGTGTTCTCCTCAGCATCGTCTTACCTGTTAGAGATGAGTTCCTCCCCACAGCATCTCTGTGGTCTGAGGAGATCAGTGGGCCATTTAGTCAGATGTTTTCCAGGCTGGGCTGGAAAAATGGAGGTGTCCTTGGAGCACTTGAGGGGACTCAGCAAAGAGACTGGAGAGGACCAGGAACGTGTCTCTGATCTGGAGGGAATGGGGATTCTTAGGAGTAAACACAATAGTGGCTAGCTCTCCAAGGCCACGTGTCTAGGCTCTTTCCCAGCCTGTTTTTTCTTTTCTTTTCTTTTTTTTTTTTTTTAGTTTTCCCACTCCATGGCCCAGTGCCTCAGTCCTCTGCCTCCCAGTCTCAGAAATCCTTATGGACAGCAGACTCTATTCCACAGTTAGTTGGGAATGACTCATAGAGTACCAGCTAGTCCTCCCAGAGCTTTGTGGATCTCCGTAGTTTAAGCTATAAATAAAAAGACTAAATCAATAATTGACGGACCTCAGGCATCTGGTCGATGGGGACAAGGAGCATTGATGGCGCCCGGTTTTAGAAATTCAAGGGCCAAGACAGATGGTGTGTAGGGAAGGCTGCAGGTTTGCGTTTGGTTTTTGTTTTCCACTTTCAGTGACATCCAGAAAGAGTTACTGCCCTTGCGAGAAAAGCCATTCGTCTCCTCTCTGATTCAGTGCCGGGGCTATGCCGCTGTGCGCCCAGTCCTGTCACACAGGGAGCGGTGCTGCAGGCACCTGCAGTGTCCTTAAACGACCATGCTGCTGTATTCCAGGCCCGGGTGGCTCCACCGGCACAGAGGCCACGTGGGGACTGGGGAGGCTCCTGCTGATGCGGGGTCACTGCTGCAGCTTGTTTTCCCCTGAAGTACAGCCCTTGAAGAGGGACCCAAATGGGGGCCTCCCTAGGGGATGGGTGGCCTCGTTACAGCCTCTGCAGGATGTAAAGGGCCAGGCCAGCAGGAAGCGGCTGCTGCCTGAGGGGAGGAGTGGAACTGGGACTAGGACCAGGATGCTCTGGAACCCTGCTTTGGGGACTGTGCATTAGAGCCTGGTGGCCCCCTTTCCTCACCAGTGGTTGGCCACTTTCTTTTGCTGTCATCTCCTCCCAGAGCCAGCCTAAGTCACTCTCCTCCTCCTCCGAATCTGTAGTTCTCACACCTCAGGGGGCACCAGCACCGAAGAGCTCAGGAGAACACGGGTGGCTGGGTCCCACTCCCAGAGATTCTGATTCAGGAGGTGCTGATTCTCTTCACACTCTCCGAAATGGGAAATGTCGGAGAGCTTTCTGGGCTGCTGGTGGGGGCGACTTCTGCTGTTCTTCTCGTCCCCCTGGGAGAGCCAGGTCTGCCTTCAAGTCTGCAGCCCCTGTAAAGCCAACGTTCCTTTCTAGCTGAGGAAAGGGGCCAAAAGGAGCACTGGAGCAAGGTCTACAAAGTAGGTTAATAATCAATTTATGAAGTAAAGTAAATAAAGACAGGGAAATGAAGGTGCTGGGGCAGACTTTGAAACTTTCATTGCTCATTTCCATATAGCTCTTTGCTCACTGCATACGGCTGGACAAGGGAAAGAGGCCACATGCGAATTAAGTTGTGCCAAGGGCTTCTGTGCATCAGCCTTGAGGAGTCCGATGCAGAGAGCGAACCGTGTGCGTCAGCAGCCCAACAAAGAACACGGCAGGAGGGTCTGAGGGTCTCCCAAAGGCCTGTGAATGATCGTAGCTGAAAAGCATCTACTTTGCACTGGTAAATTCTTTTGAAGAATTAGACCCACCCCCTCACTTTCTTAAATAACTGATTTGGTTCATTTAAATGAGGGGTGGTTAAGAGAAAGCCCCCCCTTTCTTCCTCTTGCTAATGTTGAATTATAGAGCCAAGAAGAGTGCTAATGCTGAAGTGTGCTGGGTCGGGCTTTCTACTGATTATGCCACTATCGATTCAAACAGTCACAAGTCTTTAGAGTCATTTTTAGAGTGAGCTGGGCTGAAATAGAAATCAGTCTGAAATAATGAATGCTCCGTCTTAGAAATCATGACGGGCCGAGTCTTGCAGAGAAGGCCTTGTGCCTGGGAGTCCAGCTCAGCGGGGTTAGTGCTTGGCAATCAGTCAGAGCCTGGACACAGGGCCTTCAGCTCTGGAGGGGCATCTGCCCACCTTGGGGTCCAGTCAACGAGTAACAAGTATCTCTCTCACTTTCATTTCCTTCCAAACACAGACTCATAAAACAGCTTCATTGAAGACTGTGGTGTTGTTTGTTGGTCATTTTGGAGGCAAAGCCACTGGGTGATTTAAGGGAGGGTCTAAGACAGTGATCTGCTAATGGAGGGCTGCTTTCCACACATGTCGGGGAGGAGCATGCAAACCGTGACCCGAGGGCCGAATCGGGCTGGCTGATGTTTCTAGCGCTTGTGGGCTCAGGGGTGGGGGGTTCCATTTTTAAATGGTTGAAAATAAAAATCAAGACAGTAATAACATTTTGTGACACGGGAAAATGATATGAATTCAGCTTGCCTGATTTTTTTTAGTGTCCATAAGTCATTTTGGAATGTAGCCGTATTCACCTATTTAGTAATTGCCTATGTCTGGTTTCATGCTACAGGGCCAGAGTGGAAGGATTGTTGACCATATGGCCTGCGGAGCCCAATCTATTTGCTATCTGGCTCTTTACAGACCAAGTTTGCCGAGCCCTGCGACACGTACAGGGACAGAGAGTCCAGCTGCCCACCAGGAGCCCTCTCCCTGGAGGGTCTGTGTCTACAAGGTACAGCCCTTGCCACAGGCACAGATCTGTGGTCTATGCCCTCCTGGAGAGGACTGAGTGCACTCAGGAAAGTGAAAGTGAACAGCGGTCTCACTGAAATGACACTTTGTTATCTAGATGAACTTGGGATTTGGTCAGATTTATAGCATTTGATTAAACCTACTAGAACTTACTTTCAGCATTCTTTAAGAACAGTGGCTGCCTTGTGGATTGCCTTATGCCACTAGGGCAACTCATTCAATGCTGGTCTTTTCTGTCTCAGCTTCTTCCTCCTCCTCCTCCTCCTCCTTCCTGAGCCACTGGAGAGGTACCAGCCTATCTATCTTCAAGCTCCAGAGAGCAGAGCATGACCCTTTACTGCAGGACTTCTACAGAAGGGCTCAGACAACCCCTTGTTTCTCCACGTGTAAGTCCAGCCCACGACTCTGCTGCCCTAGCCAAGCGCTGCTTTCACTTATTCCCGGCCCCTCAAAACACAGGAAGATCTCACATGCCCGACAGCTGCCTCAGTCCTGAGCAGTGAGTGGCCGTCACAGATGCACAGAGGGTGTGGAACCTTCCTCACACCAGCCAAACCCAAAGGCTGAGCAGAGAGGAGTGTGCTCATGAGAGCAGGACTTAGATATTTTAAATCAAATTGAAAAAGAACTGGTGTTCAACATATACAGTGTTTGTTTTTACTGCCATAATTTTGGGAGAATTCTGTTCGCTCCTCAATGCCCCAGTGAACGGTCTCTTTTTATTAAACTGAGGGGAAGGAGAGGACTGCACCATCCTACAGACTTCCTCCTTGTGGATGTGCAGACACAGCAGGGTAGCAAAGGGCTGTTCGGTTGGGAGAATCCAGAGAAGTGTCTATTTCCACTCAATGAATATAAAACGCTAAGCTTCTGCCAGCGTTTCCCCTAAGAAGGAAAACTAGGAGCCCTGGCTGAGTCTGTGACTGTGTGGCTCTTCTTCCTGTGACTTCTCTCCCTCCCTCTGCGCCCATCTCTTGTACAATTTCCATGCCCCTTTGTGTCTCTTCTGCAACTATCAGGTCCTCGGAGCGGGGAGCTTATTTTATTCAGCTTCATCCCTTCCCCTCTGCTGCTGGGTGAGTGCTCAATAATGCTTGTCAGCTGTGTAACATGAACATAAGTAGAATCAGAGTGGTGGGCACTGGCCCAGAAGTGGAAAGTGTGTGTGTGGGGTCCAGTCTTGTCTGTGTCTCTGAATGACTCTGAGCAAGCTCCTGGAATCTTTGAACCTCAGTTTACTCCTAAGGAAAGTAAGTGTGCCTGACAGCAGATGTCCCAGCTACCTCCTAGAGTTACTGTGAGGCGCACAGGAAGGAACAGATGCAGAAAAACACTTTAGGTGATGAAAAAGCTGCATAAGGTAGTTTTCTGGAATCAGAAGGATGCCAAGGCTTATCCTGGGTCCTCACTGGGTGAAGGTCAGACTAGAGGACGTTGACAGTGGTCCCCTGCAGAAGCTCTGTTTTGACGACACAGGAAATAGCGTGAATAGACTCCGAACTTACTTTTGAATCTGAACGCCACTGTAACTAGGGACCAGGTCAGTGCCACTGCCAAGTCACTATGAGATGAGCTGGAGGAGACTGGGGGGACAGGGCCGGATCACATGTGCTGAGGACAAAGCCTGAGACACTCGAGTCTTGGGGAGGTCCCGTAGTGGCCCCAATTCTTGCCTGCTATTTTCTTGGCCACAAAAGATCACAGACCAGTTACTATAGCAACCATTCTCCCCATGAGGTGTCCATGTTAGGAAGGAAATGGAAAAGATTTCCTTATTAAAAAAATAAGAAATAAATAAATAAATAAATTAGGTTTTCAGATATATTTGCCCTCCACCCAAAGCACTGCTCCTTTTACGAGAAGAAAGAAGCAGCTGTTATAACAAATGTTTCTAATTCTTAGCAGTTAAGTTTTCAAGCTTTCATTTTAGACTTAATGCAGTTCACACTTGTTCTCATACATCCAAGAGGAATGCATTTTAAGAGGTAAACCAGGGTGAAATAGGGGACGAGAATCGTAAGACTAGGTGGCTTGAGCCTTGCCCACCCGGGCTGCCCTCTGGCCCGCGAGAGCCCAGCCACCCTGTCTCCCAGACCTGCGTCCACCATGAAGCCCGGTGGTGTCACCTCATCAGCCCTTCCTTCTGATCCCCGGCTGCAGACTTCTCACAGCCGTCTCTGGGGCAGTGCCTGTGTGGGATGCTTCCTGGATCCTGTGGTTTCACTGGGTGTGAGTCGGCAGCAGGAAAGCCACATGGGTCTGTGCAGCTGTCCAGGCAGGCACACTCAGAGCGCTCTGGCTGGGGACTCGGCCCTGCTGTGGCCAAGGTTTTGTACCTTTCATAATAAGCTTTATATGGCCTCAGAAAGGTCAAAGGGAAAGGACCTCCAAACTGGGGAGAGAGTGTGCACATGTTGAGTGTGTGAACCTCTCCCTATGAGCTTAATTCAGCCTCAACAAGAACTTTTCCTTTAAAGGTAAGGACCATGATCTCAGGTGTGTGAAGTCCACCCACCCTGCCTGGATGAAGCCACCGGAGAACCCGCTGGTCTGTGTGGAGAGGCTGCTGAGTCAGGTGCACACACCGCAGGTTGGGACCCAAGGGCCCTGGGAACACAGAGCCCAGGGAGGTGACTGATGCAAAGGCTGACCTTCTGCCCTGCAGAGAAGAGCAGGGGCAGAACTCTGCAGACTGGCTGACAGGACGCCGGGGGGCCCAGGGCAGGAGCAGTGAGGACTGCAGGGCAAAGCCCACCTTGAAGTCCCCACTGCGGATGTGCTGGGCTTCTTGGAACCACCCCAGGGCCGGAGCATGTGGAGCGCCCAAGGGAGGAGGGGTGGGTTCCAGGAGGCTGGGGAAGGGCTGCTCAGGGTGTCATCGAAATCACAGGCGACAGCGATAGACTCACATACATCAGGCGTGGCTTACAAAAGGGACAGGTGGGTGGGCGCAGCCAGCGGGCACTAGTAGGGGAAGGTGGAGTCGTCCCACTCCAGCTGGGCTTGCCTGGCACCACTCTCCCCATGCCTGCCCCTGCCCACGCCTTCCTCCACCTCCTCCTCCTCGCTGTCGTCTGAGTTGCTGCTGCTGCTGCTGGAGCTTATGTCTTCTTCTACTTCCTCCTCCTCCTCTTCCTCAGTTTCATCTTCCCCACGCCCTGATGCTTCATGTTTCTGGATGTTAGAGAAGAAAAATGCTCGTCAGGGGCCGAGGAGAGGCCACTCTGGAGCTTCTATTTCTCTCTCCACTGTGCAAACCTTTAGGGCCCTTTGGGCTTCTTCCCCTTAATGCTAAACCCCTGGGCTTGGAAGGGAGGTCCTTTGGTGAAAGGTAAATCAGACATTCAAGGACAAAGACATGAAAGAGCAGCAAATTCCAACGAATCCAAGACGTGTGCTTTAGACACTGGGCATTTTCCACACATCACTTAGTGAGCCTTTCAGGCCCAGGCTTGTTTTCTGGCACTACTGGAGCTTATTGAAATGAGCTTGCAGAATGGCCAGTGTTTGCTTCTCAGTGAGAGAATGAATGACATTTAAGCTTGCTCTCCTTTTCCTGGTAGGAATACAGTGTCTCTGGGAACAGGTCTTTTAAGGCAAGACTCGGGTGTGCTGCCCCTCAGAAACATTCCTCTGGGCAGGACAAAGTTCATGGTCCTCATCTTCCATGTCTACTCCTCACCCTCTGACTCTACCCCACTTTTTTTCTAGTCCCATCTCTGCTTCCTCTAGACTTTTGGGGGGGTCCCAGCCAAATCTTCTTTCTGGATTTATGTTTTGATGAAGACACGTGCCCTTCCATGGCTGTGTCCCGTCTCTGGAGGGTCCTCACTTCTACCTTTGCCTCCTCCAAATCCTATCCATTCTTCAAGGCTCCCTAAGCTAACTTCCTCCAAGAAGTCTTCCCCGAACACTCCGGCCCCAGTGGCTCTGCCTGCTCATGCTCCATGGTAGCACACTCTCGCCCACAACTGGACTGCTCCAGGGTTGGTGGCTGTTTCCCACACCCAAGGCTCAGCTCTTCAAGGTCCATTGACGCTGGAGTCTCCACAGTGGTAGCTCAGCACCACCCACTGTGTGTGCTGAGCCACGTTGACACACTGGCTCTGACACCGGGGAGTGAGAACAGAAGAGTGGGGAACAAGGGGTGAGGCTGGGGTAATAGTCTCTTCATATCTCAGTGAATCCTCCTGATCTTCCCCTGCTTTGTTACTCTTGGTTCTACCTCCCCTTAGTAGCCATGGGCACACTGAAGGGTGTGATGCCATGGCTTCCCGTGACAGTCATATGCCCAGAGGGGCTTTGGACATTCGTGGGCGGATCCTGGGAGCTGCTGGCTACCTGGAAATAGCTGAACTTTAGGATCAAGCAGGTGGAGTTTGACAACGGCCACCACCATTGCAGCTATGTGAGTGTGAGCACCTCACTTCCCTCTCTGATTGGCCCCCACCCGGCTAAACGAGGAGGACGGCTCCTACTCCACGGGCCGCTGGAAGGCACGAGATGCGTGCCCAGCGCACGCCGTGCGGTGTCAGGCGTAACGGGGGGCTCGGTAAATGGCAGTTATTAATGTATTTCTGTTTTAACCTATTCTGAGCCTTTAAATGAGCTCTGCAGGCAGTATGGAGAAAAGCCATCTAATTTACATTGTTAATTAATCAAAAATTCAATACTGAGTCCCCAAGTGTTAGCTCCGAGCTAAATATAATGGAGGTGACAACAGATAGACCCCACACGGCTGCCTGCCGTAAGAAATGTCTGGTTCTGTTTGCAGGGTGAGAGCAGTTCACACGCTTTTAATCAGAGAATGCAGCTGGTGGGAAAGGGCGGTCCGTTTGCCTAGAGAAGCCTGGAGGAGCTCAGAGGAGGGAGGGACCAGTGGGGCGGGGCCAGATGGGGCAGGGCTTCCGGCACAAGGAAGACAGAGCAGCTGGAGGGGAGGCATCCCATGGGAAGCTCCCGTCCCTCGGGGTGGGGGTGGGGGTCACCTCCATGGGGTTGACTGTGATAGTGAGCGCAGAGTCGTCCCAATCCATCTCGGCCTCCTTGGCAGCCTCGGTCTCCTGGGTGAAGTGCTGGTGGGCCATCCGGACCCGGTACATGCCCATGGCCACCACGAACACTAGCATGCACACGGAGATGATGATGACCACTGTGGCAATGCTCGGGACCACTGGAATGAGAGAGGAACTGCATGACATGGTGAACTAATTCACTCCAGGTCACCGGGGGGTGTGAATGAAACCTCCATGCCTAGGTTAAAATCTGCCCCAGTATTTTCCCACTGTAGGACTCTGGGTCAGCACCTTACTCTCTCTGGGCTTCGCATTCCATCCTCTATATGATGGATTAATAATTCTTATCCCATGGGTAGCTGTGAGGAGCAAATGAAATCATCTGTATGAGCTTCCACATGGGTATGCAGGCGGCAGTTAGTAAGGGCAAGTTCTTTTCCATACCTTGCTTTTCCCCTCACACTGTAGGGCGGCCCCCACTGAGAGGCAGGCGCTGTGGAGTTCAGCAGGAAGAGACACAGTGGCCGGCGGGCAGCAACAGCATATGGCAAGTGCTGGGACGGAAGTATGGGCAGGGGCTTTGCAATGTGGCGCACACGCGTGTGTTTGTACAGTGTTCAGGGAAAGCTTCCTGATGGATGTGGCTCTACGGAGGGCCTCACGGGACTTGCAGAATTTTACCCCAGCCCTTTGTAGTGACCTCTGTCATTATATATTGTCTGAAACTCCTTGTTTACCTGGCGGGTTCCCTACTGAGGCCGTGTGCGTGCCTCTGAGCAGGGTCCACAGCTTCTCCACTGTCAGGCCCCACCTTCAGGTCTGGGCACCTATGGCTGCTACGCCCTAAACATCTGTTAGTGGTGCTCTTGAGTTGATAATCCCCCAGTGTCCTGAGGTCCCTCCTGCCAGGCTACCTACCTGAACTGCGCTGGACGCTAGTCCGAGACTCCGGGTGCTGGACGGACTGGAGGAAGGGAGGCTGCACGATGAGGTGGTTGACGTGCTCCTTGTCTGAGACTCTGACCTCATGGAGGACGCTGACCTGGGAAGAGCAGGATGAGGTGCTGCTGACCAGGAGGGCCAGGTGGGTGCCCATGGCAGCAGTACCCCTGCATGAAGAGAAGAATGGGTGAGCCTGGGCTCCCCTTACAACCACACGACTCACCTCCAAGTTGAACTCATTGCTGGTGTAGCGCCCATTGAGTTCCGAGCACTTGATCCTGAACCGCCGGGACTGGAAGGAAGCTGGACGCCAGTTGCGGTAGCGGATGTGACGCAGCACCTGCTCGTAGCGGCTCATGGAGCCCACACCTGTGCCAAGAGACCACACCTGTTATAAGAGGAGGTGGGAGAGACAGGCTGCAGGTGCTGGGGTTTGCGGGTCTCCTGAATTTGGCCAGGCTGAGAGCTTAAGATGTTTAGGGGCAGACAACAAACTGAAGCAAAAGCTCTAAGTAGCTAATTAAACCAATCCACAGTATTCCCCCACAGAGCGGGCTCTGATCAGAACGTTTAGCCTCAATCTGCCAAGTGCAGCTGTGATATTTGCTGAGATCAAGTATGAGACAAGGCAGCCATCTTGCTCCTCCCGGGGATTTTCCGAGGAGTAGGGATGTGGTCCAGGTTCTCAGGATGCTGGAGTAGCTCACCAAAGGAGGGGCCAGAAGTCCGCGCCCCGAGGTCAAGGGTACCTGCCTGACACTGCCCTCATAGGTGATGGAGTGCCATCACACTCCTGACTCCCCGGACGAGGCCCCTCTAAGGGGAGACCCCAGGAGACGGGCTGAGCGCAACCTTACCGTAGATGGAATAGCCTGCTGTGGAGTTGGTGGCGTCGAGGTGTCGCTGGTGGAGCTCGCTGTGGTTAAGCTCCAAGCACTCCTGTCTTGGGTCCAAGTCCCCTCCCAGCACTAAAATGTCACAGAAATCTAAGTTGTGAAGCATTTCTTCTAAGACTGCTGATTTGGGGGCTGTGGGGAGAGCGACACATGAGAAAGACAGGCGTGAGGACAGCCCAGACGATGAAGGAAGATGGCATGTCTTCCTGCTCCTCTGTGACTGCCCCCCAGTGAAGGGTGGCTCCAGAGAAGAGGCTGTGTAACCCCCAGTACCACCTCCAATGCTTGGATGGATGTCCAGGCCGCCCCTGAGGTTGGGCAGCAGGGATTTGTGTGAAGAAATGAATACAGAAGTGCAAAGAGGTGAATTTGAGCGCCAGTGCTGCCAATGAGCGTCTGTGCAGTGTTGGAGAACCTACCTACCCCTCAATTTCCTTATCTCTAAAGAGGGCAAGGGTCTTGAGACAACTGAAATGGTGTCTGGCCCACAGTAGGTGCTCAAGAAGCAGTAGCTCTCATCTGAGGCCAGAGGTAAGTGCCCCTCCACCCTGCTCTTGTGGTTTTCTCCATGCAGTCAGAGGGAGCATCTGCTGCCCTCAGCAGACTCCGCGGCCTCCAGGGACAGAAGCACTTTTTATGGTCCAGTCCTCAGTTTACAACCCAGGCTCTTGCACGGAGCAGTATTACTACACATGATTCGAATGGAGCTGCACTGTTCATAGAGTTCAATACTTAAGTACATTTGCCCCTGACTGATTTTTGGGACCCTGAATTTCCAAAAAAAAAAAAATCTGAGCATTTGAATGCTAGGCAGGTCGGTCGGCAGTACTAACTTCCTGTAAAATCTCACCTTAAAATAAAATTGATTGGTATTTATGGATTGACTGCTGTATACCAGGCACTGTGCAAACAAAATCTTCACCGACAGGCATTAGAGGGGGCGGTCCAAGGGTGGGTCGGCCAGGATTACACAGAGTAGGGGAAGAGTGGGAGAGAAATCCTTACTTTCTGATTCCACAGTTTGTAAAATCTTCCCCTCTAGGCCAGTAGTCTCCAAATGTTTTTGATCTTGCAGCCTGTTACTGCGAAATGTGTGAACCAAGATCGCTGAAATAAGTATATTTATTTATTTATAATTATAAGATTAATATATTTTGTGCATTATAAAACATTTATAAAAATAGAACTTAAAAGTGTTTGCTAAAGATGAGGGAATTTTTTATTTGAATTTTTTAGTGATACCAAAAATCCATTTGTGTTCTCACTAGACACATATTATAAATTCTTTCACATGCCTAATTGTTACATGCTTGCCGATCTCAAAGGCTTCGTGTGCTATTAGGAAAAAAACTCTAAAAGCACATTACTGTATACTTAAGACAAGGTCTAATATAGCAATGTGTATGTGTCTCTGTTTCAAATGGTCTTCACGTCTTCTGGGCTTTTTTGCCAGTTCCTTATCAGGCTGGGTCAGAGCACCTGTCTCCCCACGTGGCTGGCTGATGGCTCACGCTGCATAGGGGACCGTTTTCTCATTGTCCCCTTGTGCTTGCATCGTGGGTAGTATCTCCCATCTGCCCTTTCCTTGATTCCCACTGTGCCAAAGGGACTGGGCTGGGCTCAGGGACTGAGAGGTGAGTCAGCCATGGACGAGCCCTTCTGGAGCTTCTGGTCATGCCTAGTGACAGGTAACAAAAGTTGTGTCCACGGCTGAGGGTGCACGGAACAGAGACGTAACCCAGTCCAGGGGTCAGGGTGGTGGCAGAGGAAGGTCGGGGGAGGTGCCGGCAATAGCAAGAATGGGAAAGGAGAGGAACCTTCCAGGCAGAGGGAAGGGTGAGAGAGGACGTGTGAACTGACACAGAAGTGTGTGTGAGACACAATGCGTATGCACGGAGGGCCCCCCTGCCCTTTGCACTGCAGCAGCACAGAGCGTGGTCGGGGTGGGTCCTGCGTGTTTAAGGCTCCCGTGGGCATGCCTGTTCTGACAGTAGGGGTAAAATTTCGAAAGCACTAACAGTAGGTCTCCAGCACTTGGCCCCGTGCTCTGCGTGCCGCTCTCATAAACAGAAGGGAAGATGGGGACCTTATGACTGCTCTTCCCTGTGTTGCCTGTGTGTCCTTGCCAGGCCCAGTAAATCCAGCATTCAGCCATGGCCTGCAACCACTGAGGTCAGAGGCCCTTCTGTGTCTGATTTTAGCCATGAGTGAGGGGAGGAGGGAAGACCACATGACCTACTGCACCTGGGAGTATAACTAGGAGACTAGCCTGCCTGCCAGGTGGCAAAGCACCATTTATTTTGGAAGCTAACAAGGGCTGCTTGTGAGCCGCACCCCCGTTGGCTGGGGCCAGGGTGGGTTAAGGCAGTGGGTGATCAGGATTAGTCCAGAAGCCGCCCCTCAGGGACTCAGGCTCATGGGCACCAGCACACCATTAGCAGCTGCTGCTGGACACAGGGGTAGCTGAAAGTAGTCTTGGAGGAGGCAGCAAAGGACAGTTCTCAAACCCCAGCAGAGCTGGGCCTCAGGTTTTCCTCCCTGGAATCCCACTCACCCTTCCTTTTCCTGCCTCCTTCCACCTCCTTCAAGTCTGCAACCTGTGCTGCAGCTTTCAGCACAACTAAGTGCTTCTCGCGTGCACTTCTCCCAACGAAAGGACAACTGGAAAGTTCCCTGAGAGCTTAGAGTAATAAATGACGAACAAGTCTTTTCTGTGTACATGTTAGGATGTAGTTATGTTCTTCCTTTGCACTTTTTAACTTTTCTTCTGATTGTTGAAACAACAGCACCCAGAACAGAACATTCTGCAGCAGCTGCAGAGGGACAGTGTGAGCACCCTGACGGTGGTGCTCAGGCTCCTTGGGCCCTGTCCGTACTTTCTCCTTTACATGGTTGGGATCTGTGTAGGTGTAGGTACTGTAACTTGCACCTTGTTTGTCGTCACTTACAATTTAGCATAAATGCCTTTCCTCCGAGAACACAGCACTCACACAGTGGTGCCTCGGTGCTCGAAAAGCTTCGGAACTTGTCAAACTGGGTACTCGCCACATTTTGACAAGAAACGATGTTTCAGCCCTGGGCGTGCGCCGATCACTCTTCACACTTGCTGGAACTTGCAGGCGTCATGACGCCGTACCGCAAGAGAAAATGCTTCATCAACCGTCGCTTGCTTACCACTCACTGGAACAAATTAACGACAAGTACTGAGGTACCACTGTATAGGGTGCCCTGATTTGCTGAGCCATTCGTTCCCCTCTCGTTATTTATTTGCGTTGTTTCCAGGTTGGTTTGATTGTTTTGCTATTGTAAAGACTTTGCTATAGGAAACAACAGTATTGTCTTTAAGGGTGATTTACCTTGGTTGTGAGAACTCAAAGCCTGCTGCCCACACCTAGGATGCACCTGTACCTGTGGTCTTCAACTCACCTGGGGCCTCGGCTTTGGCGAAGGTGCTCACGATCTTGATGTCGGGGAACAAGATCACCCCCCTGGCACTTTCGAATTGGGCGGCGGGCCTCCAGAAGCGGTCCGTGCCGCGGAGGGTGATCTGCGGCTCCATGGCCCGCAGGACCATCACGTAGGCGTCCACGTCGGGAATGCTGATGCACACGTCTTCTCCAAAGCACCTGCAGAGCACACGAGGAGACCGTCTGTCACGCAGCCACGGTCGAGGATGCACACAGCCACCTCTAGTCCTTGACAAGGCATCCGATTGCCTAAGAGTCTCCGGGACGTCAACACACATTTCAGTTCAAAAACACACTACAGTCAGAACGACTAGCAATCTAGGGACTTAAACAGATTGGCTCCTGGGAGAAATGGGAATTTTCTACACTGGCAACAAGTAACCATTAAACCTTTAATTATCGTTTAACAAAGTAATCAGTGGCCGTGTTAATTAGATAGCAACTGCTTGTTTCATGCATTAGGATTTGGGAAGCAAACTGTCATCGAACTGGTTGGTTACAGCCATCTTACTAAGTGTGGCCATGGGGTGAACCTCCCCGGCTGCCACCTGTGAGTCATCTCTGCCTGAGGCCATCACACGAGAGCACCTGTTCCAGGTGTGGCAGTGGAGCACCACTGTAATCACACTTGTTTTTCCTGGGTCCATTTCATGGACATATTGCCTCTCAATACCCTGGGAGCAGCGAGGAGTGATGACACGTGCAAAGCCCAGGAAATCAGACAGACAAGGGTCCACGGCCTCGCTCTGCCGCTCCTGGGCTGGGCGACTCTGGGCAGGGTGTTTGACCCCTGTGAACCTCAGTTCCTTCATCTATAGCATGGGAATGACAGTAACAAACTACCCTAGAGAAGTAAGGATTAAATATGATGACTTAGAGAAAAGAAGCCGACCCGGAGCCTACATCAGCATTGGAGCTCAGTAAATGTTCACGGACTTGATGCTCTCATGAGACCACATCAGGCACGTCATTGGCACTCTGCTGGTCATCTAGGCCAAGACCGGGGCTATAGTGAGGACCCCAGGGCACAGATGGATGCTCTGGGGATACTGCGTGGGCTCCGGCTGGTGGCAGCCATCAGCCTGCATCCCTTGGGAAAGTGGCTGAGGAAAGGGGAGGCTGGGTGGACCCCAGGTTGAGCTACTCCATCTTCTTCTCTGGGTGAGTGAGGTGAGCGAATGGTGGTGGGTTTGTTTCCAGTTTCCTTTGGCCTTCGCTGCATCAAGTCCCAGTTTCCAGAAGACACCCCTCCCCTTGCCAGTGTATGGAGCCTGGTCCCAGAGCTGGAGACTGGCCAGTGTGGTACTTCTTCTTCACTGCAATGTGAAGCTGACCTGGTGCCTGCTCCCTACCCCAGGCCTCCAAGGAGGGCCTTCGGAGTGGACGGGAGGAGCAGTCCCACCCTGGGGAGAACTACTGGATGTGACTGCTGTTTGCCGGCTTTGTCCCGGCACCCGTCCCAGACCCCAGCCACCACGGGCAGCCAGCAAATCCCTATTTCCCGTGCTTGTTCCTGTTTTCCTGGGCCCTTCTCTTGGCTCCAGTGCCAGGTGATAGCTTTCCACCTCCCAGGATTTTTTCTGGGGTCCCCTTCTGAGTTGTCTGTGGCAGCAGCTGTGGCTGAGAAATGATTTGATAAGCCTGTAAGGGAGCTACTGACAGGCTTCAGTAACAGTCTCTTCTTAAGTTTTGCCCTCTGGGGACAAGAACCATGCCTTCACTTTCTCTTGCACACTCATGCTATTTAGGAGCTCTACGGGCTGAGTTGGTTAATTTAATAAATCCACATTGGTCAAGCACCTACTATGCACCAGACACTGTACACTTATGTCACACCATTTAAAACCCAGCTCTCGGAGAATTTACAGAAAACGGTGCCTTCTAGGCATTAAATCAGATACAGAAGAAAACAAGAAAGCTGGATTTGAGTTAGCAAAACAACAGGATATTTTCTTTAAGAAGAAAACCAAAGAATAACTGGGGCATCCTCATGGGGATAGCAGAGATGCCGAAAACAGCTGAAGAGAGGTGACCCCTGTTTTGTAAGAGGACTGTGCCCACTGCCTCGGCCTGGCCCTGGCGACAGGTGTCCACTCACTGAACTTTCGAAGAGACTTTGAGGTGCCGCACACCCGCAGTCGGGAACTGCCTGGAGTTGATGTAGGAGACCTTCTGCAGGGCACGGTTGATGTTCCCGATGTCGTCACCTTCCATCACCAGGATGGACTGTGAGGGGTTGAAGTGGTACTGAAAAACAGCAGGGTAGCACAGGAGAGAATGACCAACAGCATACAGAGTCCCAGGGAGACCTTCCATCGCCATGAAAAGGCCACGAAGGGCAGCACAAGCAACCCCAAAGCATCTGCCAGTGCAGCGGCTGTGTGCACAGGTGACTGCTTTAACCCTCAAGCAATTCCTGCTCACCCTTGGTGGGCTTCGGGGCCCTTTCCTCTAAGGTCCCCAGGGATTGTAAACCCTCACAGATGGGATTCTGAAATCTTAGTCACAGGAGCTCAGTCACTTGTGGCAGCCCCCACGTGCTGTGCTGCTGTGGGGTCCTGAGCAGAAACTCCCAGGCATTGAACTGTCCATCTCTCAGTCAAGAGCGCAGAAACTTGAGATTTTGGCTCCTTTTGCTGTTCCTGTCTTTGGCCTTGAACTGCTCCTCAATTCACCCTGTACTTCACTTCCTGACCCATGCCCCATCATTGTGGCTTCCAATCTTAAAACTCATAGTTGTTTACTTAATAGCTTTCCTTCCCTCTTAGATCTGAATCTTTGACTTGCTGCTTGGTGCTAAACTCTGGCTTCCTAGGAGTTTTACTGACTTGATGTTTGCACACTGGCCAGCTGCTTTAGGCTTAGGTAGGATTCATTCCACGCGGAGTCCCTGCTAACCCACATTTGGTGAAGGCCCAGGGGCTCCGGTGCTCCTCACCGGGTTGTGCAGGTTCTCAGACTAGATCAACTAGATACAGACCTCTGCTTCCCCATGTTCCCCGGGCCAGTCATTCTTTTCTGAATGGAACATGGAGAACAGCTTTTGTACTGGTCTGAGTTATTAATCTTGATATACTTCTTTTATTTGAGTTAATCATCTTGACATACTTCTGAGCAAGAATTATTAGGACCTGATATTAAAAAGATGTCAGGAGCATATCTCTGGATTCAGATTATATAACCAATGCTCACGTGACAGGAAAGAGAAACATGAATATATTTTTATGTACCTACTTGGCAACCATTATTTTAGAGTAGATAATATATCCACATGGTTCAAATGTACATATGTGCCAAATAAAAATGTCCATCTTATTCCCATCTATCCACCCACCTTCTCCAATCCCATCATTTAGGTAATCACTGTTAAACTAATTTCTTAGTGACAAACTGCATTATTGTTTGTAATTAGTTGTTTCCCTCCTGGTGAGAGGATTGTATTTACATGCCCGTCCTACTGTCAACAGGCTTGATCATGTGACCTATGGTACCCTTCCCTGCTGGGTGCACCTTTTGCCCCTTCTCACTCAGTAGTGGTGAGTGAACTTGCTTGGCAACAAAATGTGGGCAGAGTATTGTTTGGTTGACACCAATGGGGAGGATCTAACAGCCAGTTCATGGTTTGCTATGTCGCTTTCCCTCTGCCATGAAACCTACAAAATCCCCTTAGGGGTCTGGTCCTGCAGCCTGGGTCTTGCAGCGAGGGGGCTACGAATCAGAGCTGCAGCCCAGTGGATGTGCACGGGGAACAACAACACAAAATAGCTGTTTTGTAAGCCTCTGAAAATCGTAAGTCATATGTTTACTGTAGCAAAACCTCGCCTATCCTGACAGTTATACTTAAGCATTCTTATAAATATGTAGTTGATGAATGTAGATTTCCATTATTCTCCTTACACTAAAGGTAACTTTTTTACATACTGTAGATACTATATTATATCTTTGCTTTTTTCTTACTTAGTTCATACCTTGGAGTGCTCTCTGTATCAGTACATACAAATTTGTACTGCTGTATATAGTATTATTAAATAAATTAATTTTTAACCAGTCTTCTAATATGAACATTTGGATTTTTCCAATCTTTTTCTAGTAATACCACAACGGATAGTCTTGTACACATAACATTTTGTAAGTGTGTAAATATACCAGTAGTTATTCCCTACAAGTGAAATTGCTAGATCAAAGAGTGTATGCATTTAAAATTTTGACAAATGTTGCCAAATTCCCCATTGCTAGGGATGATATCAATATACACTCCCTCTTGCAGTGTATGAGAATGTCTCTTTTCTCAGAACCTCAACAACAGAGAATGCTGTCAGATTTTGATAGGTGATCTACATACCATCTTAGTATAGTTTTAACTTGCATTTCTACTGCCATAAGGAGACTGAATATGTTCTCAGGGCTTTAGGAAAAATCTATCCATTTGCGCTTTCCTCTGATGTGGCTTACACATTTCTAAGAGTTCCTTGTTCTGTGCCTGGACCCTAATAGGAGGTGGATCTCTCATGAACACCGTGGTGACATTGACCCCTGTAAGTCCTTTGCACTGTGGCCTCCAGCCCTCTAAGAGCTTAGCCTCTGTCTTCTTCAGCTCCTTCATCATGTGGGTGTTCAATGGTTCCCTCCTCCCTGAGGCTTCCTCCTCTTCCCTCCTTTAGGTCCCCAGCAGCCTCCTATAGAGCTAATGAAATGCAAGTATAATTAAATGCAAGTATAGTGACCACAAGCCCAGTGAGGAGAGGGCTACTCTGACCCTTACCCCTGCATCCCGGAACCCAGTGCTAGTGCTCCGTAAGCCCCTATTAGATGACTGAGTAAATGGTACCCCAGCCTTTGTTTTACTCAGTATCATCTCCTGCTCCTCTCCCACGGGATGCTTTTATTATTTTTTTTGCAGTGACTTGTCTTTTCAGTCAAGCCTCTGCAGAATCATGGTCAGTGCTCATCAAACCCTGCTCTCCTTTCCTTCCAGGGCATCGTGCCCACTCACTCCTCAGCTGCTGCGCTATCATTGGCAGGGCCACGTGACTGCATCTGGCCAATGAGATGTGAGAGGAAGTGATGCGGGAGCTCTGGGATGAAGACACCCTGCCTGCAGAATGCTCCAGCCTTTTTTCTTTTTCTGCTCTGGTGGCCTACGGTGTTCTAGGCAGAAACCCCACTCCACCTCTCCACCTCCCCAGCTTAGTGTGAGACAAAAATAAACCATATTCTGTAGTCATTTGCTACTGCAATTGCTTAGCCCATGGGAGGGCTTCAGCTCTTCCCAGTCATGTTTCTCACTTCTCTGAGGCTTTGTGGCCCCCTGAAAGATGGTGGGCTGCATGGACGACCATCTCCCAGGTCGGGTACAAACCACGGAGTACAACTTTGGGTAAATATACTGTGCTTCTCCTTTCCAGACTTTATTTCCTCATTTATAATAATGAGGATGTTAATAGCTGCCTGTCTGGGGCTTAAGTGAGAGAACACATATGAAGTGTCAATTTATGGCAGCTTTTATCATACTTCTGCACCAAGTCTTTGCCTGTGCTGGATCCCTGCTTTCACTGCCCATCCTTCCCCACCAGCCAGTTCCCTCCTGTCCTGAAACCCTGAGCAGGGTCTCTGAGCCCACAAGCACCACTCCCCATGCTGCACGCAGGCGCCCAGGCACACGGTTGGCCTTTAGTCAGCTTCTCTCTTGCCCTGGCTGACTTACTAGCTGCCATGCACCGATGAGCCGTTACACAGGATGGGGCAACAGACGGTTTATAGTTGTTCGTATGGAAAATAACACAACAATGAACAGATACTAATACAAGAGTAAACACTGTTTTATGTACTCACAACTGTAAACCTACTAGCCCATAGTTCTGGTGTTCACAGATCACCAGATTCAGACTTCAGCAGATTCAAGGTCACCCATCTAAAAACACCACTTATGTCCCCACAACTTTTTCTGCCCTATCACCATCAATGCTATAGTAGAGTTTTGTGGTACTGTTGCTATCTGTCTGTCTGCCACCCCCAGCAGACTGTGAGCACCTTGAGGGTAGGGTCTACTGACTTCTCAGCATTAGCATGGGGTCCAACACATGACAAGCAGAGGACAACGTGTGACCCCTGCAGAGGAGGCCAACCTCTGAGCATCACATCAGGACTAAAGAGTAAAATAAAGCAGTTCTTCCGGGATAACGGGTTGGCAGTAACAGGTGGCAATCGGCAGAAGGCACAGTCCCACTGCACCAGCTTGGGAGAGCACGTATCAGGAACGCGCTGGACCTCCAGTTAATCCCCAGTCTGGTTGGCCGAGCGTCCCACAGGGAAGGACTGGCCCGGGGCCTGGCCCTCAACATAGTTCTTGCAATCAGTAAAGCCTCTCTTTTTGCTTTTGTTGTGTTTTTAAACTGCAATGTTCACAGCTCTGTGGTATGACTGAGGGTTGGCCTCTGGTTGTGTGGGACACAGAGTGATACTGGTATTACCGCAGGGGCAGGAGATGGCTTCCTGGGGACCCAGCAAAGGGGGACAGCATTTTCTGTGCCCCAGGGAGCTGTGCTGTAGCTGTGGCAATTCCTTTCCTTAAGCCAAGAAGCTGCTAGACAGGGGGCTTTGCAGAGTGGCTGCCAGCCACTTAGCAGGCGAAGACCCGGGCAAACTTCCCTGGGCTGGCCATGGCAGCCTAGGCCCTTTGCCATTTCCTCAGACACCCGCCAGCCTCTCTGGGCTGGGCCAGAAGGTTCACCAGGCTAGAGGCTCCTCTGCGACAACTGTCACCCAGGCTGACTTTTCAAAAGGAGCTGGGCCAGTGGTGACGCCAAGTGCAAAGCCAGTCCAGCTGGAGAAGGAAGTGATGATTTTTTGAGAGCCTACTTAGTAGGTGTGCTAGGGGGTATCTATATCTGTGTCTATTCTCATCTGTATGTACAGCTTTGCTATGTCTAATATCTAGACATATTACATATTGTATACACAGGTACAGAGAGAGTATATATGGATATAGCATGTAGACAGGTATACATAGAATTCAATCCTTACAACATCACTGCAAAATAATGTTAAGTCCATTTTTACATGAGGGAATTAAGGTGTAAAGGACAGAAGTACCTTCCCTAAGGTCACCCAGCTAGTGAATATCCACACTGTGACATGAACCGAGGACTGTCTTGTTCCAAAGTTCCTGTGCTTCCCCGCTCTTCCACACCGTGCCGCTGACAACCTGGCAGGGATCACGCTGCCGGGTTCAGGACACGGTCCCCTTCAGCAGTGTGGCTGTTCCACGGTGTCCTGTGTCTACATGAGATAGCCACCACCCCCCCACTTAATGATGCCAGACATGCTGGAGAGATGTTCATAAACAGGCACGATCCAGAGGAAAACGAGTAAGAAAGAGGAAAGGCGCTGGGCCCTGTGAGCAGACAGGGAGCTCCCTTAATTGCAGAAAAACCTCACTTCTCTGAAATAAATAGCCAGAGAGGAGGGAAGGGACCAGGAACTGCTGGGGAAAGTAATAGTCACTATTCAGAAACAAAATGAGGGATAAATGGAAGGAGGGCAGGCATGAAATTATAGTAATTTTAAGAATGTCTTCTAATCCAAGTTTGGACAAGTTCCTGAGCCCCAATCTCCTTATTTCTGAAATGGGGTCGCACTATTTAATTTGTTGTGAGGAACAGGGATAATCAACTGAAAATAGCCCCAGTGGGTGCACCGTGAATTGTCTCATCGTTAACCTCTCGCACAGCGCTCCCGTTCCCACTACCTGCACCCCGAGGGTGTGAAAGGGTCCTTTGCACGGACTGGTTGTATCAGGTGGTATCCCGGAAAGGCAGGTGGGCCTCCGCCCCCCTACAGCTTTTTGTGCCCCTCTGTCCAGCACCTCCTCTGTTCCTAGGCTACGGCTGCTATGTAGACTTGTGATGGTTCTCTGTTTATAAGTCTAGGATATGTGGCTTTTAAGTTCAGCATCTTTGGTTCATTTGTTCTGCAGTGCTTGGAATCCAGAAACTGTGCCCCCATGGGATGATCTAGTGCAGAGGAGACCCACTCGGGGGTGGGGGGCAAATCCAGAATCAGCCAGAGAGGAGAAGGAGGGTTGGAGGACAGATTCCTGCATCGCTGGCTTCACAAAACACTAAGGAGACAAGACACACAGTGGGTCAGGATCCAAGTCTGGCTCTGCACGGGGGATGCCTGCGTGAAGTGTGCCATGAAGGGCTTGCTTGGACCAGCTGTTATAAAATAGGCTGCCATTCCAAAACAGCTGGTTACAAAGTCAATATCCAGAAATCAAAGGCATTTTTGTATACCAACAGTGAATCAGCAGAAGCAGGAATCAAGGAAAAAATCCCATTTGATATAGCAAAAAGAAAAATAAAATATCTAGGAATAAACCTAACCAAGGAAGTAAAAAACCTGTATGCAGAAAACTACACAGCCCTGAAGAAAGAAATCAAGGAAGACACAAACAAATGGAAACATATACCTTGTTCATGGATTGGAAGAATTAACATCATCAAAATGTCCATACTATCCAAGGCAATATACAGATTCAATGCAATACCTATTAAACTACCAATGGCATATTTCACAGACATAGAACAGACACTTCGAAAATTTATATGGAATCATAAACGAGCCCGAATAGCAGCTGCTCTTTTGAGAAAGAAGAACAAAGTAGGGGGGATCACCATACCTGATATCAAACTGTATTACAAGGCCACTGTAATCAAAACAGTCTGGTACTGGCATAAAAACAGGCATATAGACCAATGGAACAGAACAGAGAGCCCAGAAATCAACCCAACTCTCTACAGTCAATTAATATTCGACAAAGGGGGCAGTAACATAAAATGGAGTAAAGATAGCCTCTTCAAGAAATGGTGTTGGGAGAACTGGACAGCTACATGCAAAAATATGAAACTTGAGCACCAACTTACACCATACGCCAAAATAAATTCAAGGTGGATAAAAGACTTAAATATAAGCAGTGACACCATTAAAGTCCTAGAGGAGAACATCGGCAAGAAAATATGAGATATTTCATGCAGCAACTTTTTTACTGATATGTCCCCTAGAGCAAGGAATGTAAAGGAAAGAATAAACAAATGGGATCTCATCAAAATAAAAAGCTTCTGCGTGGCTAAAGAAAACAGTATTAAATTAGCAAGACAACCAACTGTATGGGAAAACATATTTGCCAATGATACCTCAGACAAAGGTTTAATCTCCAAAATATACAAAGAACTTACACGACTCTACTCTAAGAAGACACCCAACCCAATTAAAAAATGGGAAAAGGACTTGAACAGACACTTCTCCAAGGGGGACATACAGAACATCCAGAGACACATGAAAAGATGCTCAATATCGTTAGCTATCAGAGAGATGCAAATTAAAACCACAATGAGATACCACTTTACACCAGTCAGGATGGCTATCATAAACAAAACAACAAACAACAAATATTGGAGAGGTTGTGGGGAAAAGGGTGTCCTTAGTCCACTGTTGGTGGGATTGCAGACTGGTACAACCATTATGGAAAACAGTATGGAATTTTCTCAGAAAAATAAAAATCGACCTGCCTTTTGACCCAGCAATTCCACTGCTGGGATTATATCCTAAGAATCCTAAAACATCAATATCAAAGAACCTATGCACCACAATGTTCATAGCAGCACAATTTACAATAGCCAAGAGTTGGAAGCAACCTAGGTGTCCATCAGTAAATTAATGGATCAAGAAATTGTGGTACATATACACAATGGAATTCTATGCTGCAGAGAGAAAGAAGGAGCTACTACCTTTTGCAACAACATGGATGGAACTGGAAAGCATTATGCTGAGTGAAATAGGCCAGGTGCTGAAAGAAAAATACCATATGATCTCACCTTTAACAGGAAGCTAAACAACAAAACAAACAAGCAAGCAGAAAAAAAAAACAAAGACACTGAAATAGAGAACAAGGGGACAGTGACCAGAGGGGAGAAGGAAGGGAAGTTAAGAGGAAAAAAGGGGAGGGATTTGGAGGAACAAATAGGAAAGACACAGGGACGAGAACTAAGGGGGGTGGAAATGGGAGGGAGGTGGGAGCAAGGGGAGGGGGAAGCTGGGATGGGAGAAATAGATAAAAAACTGTACTTGAAAAATAACTAAATAAAATTAATTAAAAATTAAAAAAATAAACAAAAAATAAAACTGCAAAAAAATAAATAGTAAGTCAATGAGAAAAACAAACAAAATAAAATAAAATAGGCTGCCATTCCACTAGGAGGCAGTCTTGTGAGTTCCCCTCAATGCCAGGTGATGAGCTATTGAAAAGAGAGAGAGAGAGAGAGAGAGAGAGAGAGAGAGAGAGAGAGAGTGTGTGTGTGTGTGTGTGTGTGTGTGTGTGTTTATAAAGCCTGTTAAACAATGTGTTCTGGAACGCCATTCTTGCTTTACCCTGTCTGTATCTACCATCGTGACCTTCAGACTAAGTCTCCAGGGTGAACATCCTGAGCCCCATGCCTGCCCAGATCATGCTTCCTTGCCTGAAGTACTTCATTACTGCCTGGTGCCGACAGAAAAAAAAAAGGGAAAATACCTAAACATAGTTAACAAGGTCCCATGATATGGCCTCTGCCCACCGCTCTGGTCACACTTTCTACCTGCAGTCCTGCAATTTGGGCACCTGTACCACTGGCCTGGAGCTGCAGCGTGCACTGCGGGGTTCCTCAGCCCTCTGCCATTGCTCAGGCTCCTGGCTCTGCCTAGAGTGACCGCCCTGCTCTCTCACTGTACTCCTGCGTTTTTCCTGGCTGGTTCCTATCCATCCTGAAACATTCTGCTCAGACTTTGCCTCCTCCAAGGAGCCTTCCCTAACTGCCGTCCCCCCAGGTTCTAGAGCTCTGAAGTAGGATTGAGTTCCCTGAAGACAAGAAGCTTGGGACGTTCATTTTTCTCTCCCTCTACCCAGATGAGCACTGAATACATGGGTGTCCAAGGAATGTTTGCTGACTCAACTATGACTTAGACAGAAGCTCGATGTGCTCAGATTACTAGCCCCTCCAGTTTACCACCCATCACAGCGGCACAGGCCCCACCTGCGGCTTCAGTCAGAGGGCTCTGTCCTGGCCAGTGCCTCCCCGTCCACAGGAGCAGGCCCAGGGCAGGAAGGGCAGGGTGGGGCTCCACAGGCAGCACTGGGTGGGGATGGGAGGTGGGTGGGAAACCTCTGCTCTGGTCATACCCTCCTCCGGCATTGACTAAGAAGGGAAACTTCACAGCTACTGGGGCCTCAGGGGGCTGTCCTATGGCCCTAGGAGATGGCCACCTGCCTTCCAGAGAGGAGGCTAGAGGACTGTCTGCTCTGCTGGGGGTCCTTTATGACTGAGTGAGGGCTACCATGTCTTTGCTCAGGGCCCCAGAGGCTTCAGGCTGGCAGGTGCTCCTGAGACCCAGCTGAGGCCAGAACCATCCTTTACTGTCAGGGAGGGGCTTGCTGAGGCATGGTTGGCCATAATATCCCCTCTCTTCATGAGGGGCTTTTCTCAGAATGCCGCTTTGCTTCTCTTGGATTATTCAAATATATTTATTTTGCATGAATGATGAAAGTCATGAATCTGTTTGCATCCCCTTTGCAGGCCAGAGCCGCTGGGGGCTCAGTCTGTGTCTCAGCTGAACAATGAGAGGCCCAGCGACCTCCGCATCTGCTTCCTAATTCCACCCCACCGGGACTGACCTTCCTTTCTAATTTGGATTTTACGCAGTTCAAAGTTTTTGTTTTAAAAAACAGCTTTGACTGTAGCCTTGCATGCTGCTTCAGTTCCTTTAGGGAAATAAACAACAAAGCAACCAATCAACCAACAAACAAGAGAAATCTAACAACTCCCTCCAGGTAGACACTGAAGATGCACTTGCTTTTGGGTAGTGAACCAGTTATTCATCCACAAGGGCTTCTTTTAGAAATTTTAGGACACAGCAGCAGGAGTCCATCATGGAGTCAAAGTCGCTGAACTCCCTGCCGTGGCTGCACCTGGGCCGACACCATCTCTGTTCTCCCTTCCCCGGTGTGCACTGGCCCTGGGTTGCCACCTTCTCATAAACCTTGCCGGGGTGATGCTGGCTCCTTCCTTACCTTTATTCCTTGGCCGAGGCTTTCCAGGGAATTAATATCCAGCCCTTCCTTGCAGGCCTGTAGGCAGGAGATCACCTTCTGACTCTCCATCTTTCCAGGGCGGATGGTGAGACTGGCCAGGCTGCCGTGGAAGAACTGGGCAAACCGCGGTTTGGTGACTTCTCCGCCTAAAAGACAAAGAAGCACAGTTATTCGCCCTGTGGAGCTGGGGTATGAAACACCACTTCGAGGCGCCATTTGGCTATGGAATGAAGGACACAGTGACTGTGGCCAGATTCTCAACAAGAGGATGTCATTTGCCACCAATACCTTGGCACTCTCAGCTGTACCCAACTGAGGAATTCTAGCATTTCTGAGTTTTAAAATAGTTACTTTCAGGGACACAAACTGTTTTTAGAAGACAGGACAGCCTTACAGAGTGAAAACAGAGGGGGAAGGAAGCTACTACTGATTAAAAGCCTGCTGTGTGCCAGGCTCTGTGCTAGAGACTTCACCTGGAAGCCCACAAAGACAAATCATTGTCTCCAATGCCGCCTGAAGAATCCCGAGACTCAGAAAGGTCGAGGGACTTGCCCCAGGAATGTTGGCGAAATGCTGCTCTTGTCCTGGCCTGACTCCAAAGCTGGGTTTTGTTCCCCTGAGTTCCACTGAGCCGTGGGCAGGCACTAGAAGAATCCCAGAAACCCCACACCCACAGGTGCTGGCTCTCCCGAAATGAGCTGATGCAAAATCAGCTCAACTTCAGGGTCTCTGGCCGCTAGGGACTTCCTCGATTCTGTTCCACCTCTGACTTTCTGCTCCTGTTTTCCACTGTGCTCTCCTGACTGTGAGGACCTCGGTCTGAGCCAGGGTCCAATCTTCGGTTCATGACATTGTCCAGGGTGGCTTGTGTTGCAGAGCCAGCCTGGAAGTTACCTCTTGGCATTTTGTCTGTGGTTTTCGAAATTGGGCCTCCCTAAGGTCCACTTGAATCTCCACCTCCACCGAGAGGGCTTCCCCACTGACTTCTCTGAGCTCAGACCCCTTCCATCAGGAGGTGGCCTACACCTACATGCTTATCCTTGATCTTGCACTTCCATTTGTTCAGAGAAGAAGCAGACATATAGGAGAGATAAACTGGGGTCACACTTCAGCTTTGTTAATTTCTTGAGGTTCTGTAAGCACTCTGAGCCCCTGCTTGCTTGGAGGGGACACTTACGGGTTTTACTTCCTGGTCCTCCTGTGCGCGCTCAGCAGGGCCCGAAGCCTCCCTGGTGCCCCTCGTGCCTGCCTCCTACAGTGCTGCAGTGTGTGTGTGGGGGCACACCTTCCCCCAGCACCGTGCGCTCCAGAGAGACACTTCCCTGCAAAGGACTTTCCCGAAGCCACAGAGGGCACATCTCCGAAAAGTTCTGTCTCAATGACACCACAGTGGCTTCACTGTCCTTCAGTGAACTGCACCTTGCCGGCAAAGTCTGGACCCCAGCTCTGGGGGGAGGAAGCAGAGGGATCTCCCTGGGGCACCCTGTCTCAGCCCTCTGGGAGTGGACTCTCCTGGTACCTGCATTCCTGTGTTCTTGAGTTCTTTCTACTTCTTAGTGGCCAATCCTGCATTATTCCAACCCTGTGTTACACTTTATTACTCTTTCTATTTTCCTGTTCCAGTTACTGTGTGGTTTCTCTCTCCTGACTGGTTCTGAACTGATACACCCTCTATGTCTGCACACAGACCTTTGTTCACACTCATTCCTCCTCACATCGGGATACCACCTCCAAACTGTTCACATCAGGCAAATCCACTGGTTCTTTAGGGCACTTCACATCCTCTACCCCCTGCTGCTCATAGAAACCTTTCATGAGTCCCTGCCCACTGTGCCCTCCCCCTGCTCCCAGCCCCCTGCCCACTGTGCCCTCCCTCTGCCCTCAGGGACATTGACAGTTCATTTCTGTGGACTCCTCACAACTCAAGTGTTCTTAGTTCCTGATTTACATGTGTTTTGTGTCTTCACTCACTTATAAAGGTGGTTCTCAACCTTGACCACATATTTTAATGACCTGGGGACCTTTAGAAAGACATATCCTGGTGCGGAATCCCTCCCTCAGAGGTTGAGACCAATTAGTGTAGGGTTTTAAAAGCTCCTCAGGTGAGTCAAACGTGAAGTCATCGTTAAGAATCACGGGGCTATAGGCTCCTTGGGGTTGGGCCTTCTGCAAACACCTCACGTGATGTCTTTCCTTCCTGCCACTCTCAGGATTCCTCTTGCCAGTCTTTGCACACTGCTGGAATTTATTTAAGTCTGTCTCTTAAATGGCAGGGGGCACTCACGCATCATGCATTTTAATGAAGACAACACTGAACAGGTATTAGGGGCTGAGGGGTGCAACAGGCACTTTGCATAAGTGGCTCATTTATTCCTCTCAGCAACACAGGCCCGTGTTGCCCTGGCATCTTGCACTCTGTCTGGCACACAGCAGACATTTCATCACTGTTTGCAGAGTTGCAGTTAAACACCAGCAAAGCGGTGGGCATTGTGTTGTCTCTCTGACATCCGTCTCACTCTTGCCCTCTTGCAATGGCAGCCCTGAGGTTGGAGGGTTGACTCAAGCTCCAGGGGTGGATTCTGTTTCATCAAAGCTAATCAGGTTTTCCTGTCTCCACTGCTCAGTGACTGAATCAGGCAAGGACCTGGGACCCAGCACCAAGGTGAAGCCAATCAGTACCTGGCATCCGATAAGCCATGGCTGTTGATTCAGGAATAATCATGACACCAAATTTAGGCCAGTGAGATGGGAGGAGAAACTGACTGGCTGCTCCTGGGAAAAGAGCTTCCACTTTCTTTCCAGAAGGCTTGTAGAACCTACTTTTGCTCTCTCTACCCTGGAAGGCCAAGAGCTGCTGCAGCCGCCTTGCGAGCAGACCAGGGACAACCAAGGCAATACATGGCAGAGGGCAGAGCTGGGAGAGCCAGAGCAGGCTGGGCAGGGTCCTGAATGGGCCTCCCCACTGCTCTGCCATGGAACGCCCTCAGCTGGGGGAGCCCAACATCCATCGTTATGGTTTGAGCCATTCTGACTCACTGTTGTTACTTTCCACCGCAAACACCTCACTTTGGAAATGAAAGGAGAAGTCCACAGGGAACAATAAACAGGTCTGGCTTTGAGGTAGCCATGGCTTGAGGGCATGGGGAGCCAATGTGGGGCCTTCTGTTCTAGGCCCTCGAAGCCCCCCACCCCTCGAAGTCATCAGCATGTTTTTGCTCTGGCAAAGCGACACTTCTGTGGACCTGCAGGAAGAAGGCTTGAGTCTGGGTATGAAAGGTAGAACTGCCACTTTCCAGGGCATCCTGTGGTCCTCTTTCCAACCATCATGTACTGGGTATAAACTACATTTCTAACACTATGTGAAGTCCTCACATACATTATTTTATTGAATCTTCATCAAACTCTTGTGGGGGGTACTTATTCTATAGTTAGAGATGAACAAATTCAGGCTTAGAGAGGAGGAGTAAGGTACCTAGGGCCACAAAAGTAGGAAGTGGTGAAGTGTGGGCCTTGTTGTGTGAGTGTGTCCATCCATGCAGGGGACCAGCTGGGGCATCCTGGTGAGACTGGCCAGCCCGGTCCAGCGAGCCTCAGCGAGAGCCCGCTCTGCCATGTCCTCTGGCTCCACTCAACTGCTCCATCCTTAAAGGCCAAACTTTGCAACTCATGAATGCTGTCATTTTTCTACACACTATTTTCTCTTGGCGAAGCATTCACATTCAATATTTTTTGACTCAGAAATCCCAGATCTGTGATGTACCCTATTTATCAGTGATGCAGCTCCAGGAAATCAATTCAATTAGCATTTTGCAATAGGAGACTAGCATAAAATTTGAAATATACTTGCACTCAGGGGTTGTAGTGATGTGGGTTTTAAAATATAATGGATATACTGAAAATCTCTTTTTACTATCTAGAGTGTCTGCATATACCACATGGCCCCTATGTTAGCATTTAGATATAAACATGCTCATGAATTATTTTAAGAAAAAAATAACCTGATTCTAATACAAAAAACCTCCTCTAAATCTTTGCGAGCATGATTTTGGTTTCCTGAGGGCACACATTTTTAAAGTGTTTGCTGCATGCCTTGCCTTCTGCTAGATTCAGTTAATTATAGGATGTGGACCATGCTCTCCAGGAGCTTACATTTAGCTGGGAAAATAAAGTATAAAAACCGGAAAAATATAAAAGAGTAAATTGCCAATATGATAGATGTTCCAAGGCAGAGCATGATTAATTTTCAAATCAGTGATATAGATAATGGGCCAACAGATCACAGGGGAAATGCTAATAGCTATCATTCATGAGGCCCTTAAAACATGGCAAGTTCTTTAATATACTATTTTATTTCATTCTTTTTAAAAAAATTATTGAGGTGACACTGGTTAATAGGGTCATATAGGTTTCAAGTGTACATTTCTATGACACATGATCTGTATATTGCATTGTACACCCACCACCCAAAGTCAAATCATCTTCCATCACCATATATCTTGGTCCCTCATCACCTTCCCTTGGCTGACCACCATACTGTTGTCTGTGTCTATTTTATTTAATATTTAAGTAAGATGTTACTTTTAAGACCTTAGCCTCTATTCTTTTCATTTCCCCCCTCCTGCCTCCACTGCTGGCTGGCTTGTGCTCAGTGCCACAGGGAAGGCTGTGACGAGAAGAGCAGACTGGGCTTGAAGCTGAGTCTCTTCCCCAGTTTCATTTCCAGAAGCCTAAACTCAGGAAGTGGGGAAGATCTGGGTATGGCTGCACATTGGGGGAGAAACAGAGAAAGAGACTCTGGATTCCCCCAGACTAGGAAATGACCCCCCAGAGTGGGGGGTGTGAAGGGAGGTCAGACAGCTGAGATGCAGAATGAGGGCACCTGAGCCTGTCGCCTGGCTGAGCTGTGGCAGAGGTGTGTGGTGTTGGGAGGGAATGTGGCCTGGGGTCTGGACAGATGAACACATGGTCTTACAGAGAGAACATGAGGAGCAGTGGAAGTCGTTTTATGGCCCCCAAAAGGCAAGGGAACTCTGAAGGAGCTGCCAGTCTTGAAGGACTTTTAGTGACTGATGACCAGAGTGAGTACCATATCAATGGACAGCTGCACAGAAAGATGGATTGGAGGCCCCCTCGGCACCCCAGCACC